GCTGCGTCAGCATGCGGTTCCGCCCCCCCCATTTCGGCACACCCCTCACACGTTTCGTGGCACCATAGGGAGCTCCACCGAGGGCCCCAGTGGTTGCGTCCGCATGCGGTTCCACCCCCCATTTCGGCACACCCCCCACACGCTTCGTGGCCCCGTAGGGAGCTCCACCGAGGGCCCCAGTGGCTGCGTCCGCATGCGGTTCCACCCCCCCATTTCGGCACACCCCTCACACGTTTCGTGGCACCATAGGGAGCTCCACCGAGGGCCCCAGCGGCTGCGTCCGCATGCGGTTCCACCCCCCGTGTCGGCACACCCCCCACACGCTTCGTGGCCCCATAGGGGGCTCCACCGAGGGCCCCAATGGCTGCGTCCGCATGGCGGAACCGCACCCGCTTCGGCACACCCCGCACACGCTTCGTGGCCCCATAGGGAGCTCACTGTCATTCGTTCAACCTGCTTTGCGGTACTCGTAACTGCATATGTATGGGTCCATCGCCAGGATAATTGTATCTTAAGCTCGCGTGCGCCTCGATACTTGAAGCCATCTCGGGGCTCTCTCTTTGGGTTTCATCGTCTGCCAATCGTGTGCGCTCTTTCACCATCCGCCTTCTATCCGTAGCACGTGTGGCTGCAGCTCGATCGGGCGACGATCTCTGCCTTTTTGCTCCACTTACAGTCAACCTACATAGCAAGGGTGTGCAGCCTTCCCAGGGGCAACCTGTTGCATCCTTGCCTCCTCGGCCCACCCTTCGCCGCTTTCGCTGACCGCGCCCCGCTGGGAAAGCTTCGAAAAAGGCGTTCCAGGCCCTTGCGTCCTCGTCGTGCGCCCTGTCTATGCTGGTTGACTGCAGCGCGGCGGCGTGCCAGCGAAGCGCAAGGTCGACGAGGCCAACGTCTCGAAGGTCGGGAAGGCCAAGGTCGACGCGGTCGACAAGGGCAAAACCTTCACGGAGCTGAAGAGGTGGGGGGATCGGTGCACGGTCGAGGGGTGGACGGGGAAGCTGGTCGGGCTCGCGTGGAAGGACGGCGCGGTGGAGGAGACGCGGCACTGGGCGCCGCCGCAGGGGGGCGTCGGCAAGGACGGGGACAAGGACAAGGACAAGGCCAAGGGTGGCGCCGAGGACCAAGGTCGGGGTGGCGCCGAGGACATGGGTGGCGCCAAGGACAAGGGCGGCGGCCGCAAGGACAAGGTCGGCGGCAGCAAGGACAAGGTCGGCGGCAAGCGCAAGTGACCAGCTGGCAGTGGCCCAGCTGGCAGCTGGCATGGGCGGCGGCCCATGCGCCTCGAACGCCCTCGCTTTTTGACGGTGACGAAAACGAAAGGAGGGGGCGAATGATCATATTGAGGAGGGGGTGGAGGATGGAGGAGACTGGTATGGGGGAGAGGCAGCAGCAACAATGGCAACAAGCCCTCGGCTACATGCCGTCATTGACCCATTATTGTCCGTTGCTGCTCCGTTGTCCTCCTGCGCCGCATGTTGCCCACGTGGCCTTTCCCCTTCCAATGTGCGTGCTCGCCATTTCGATTATCCTCCCCCCTCCCTTCGTCCGTCTTCACCTGCTGCGCAATCTTGCGCCCCTGCGCCTCTGCCATTCCGATGTCGTCCGTCCATCTTCCCCCCGCTGGCCAGGATTTCACCCGCTGGCTGAAGCGCAACGCTGACGCGACCGACTACGGGCCCATCTCCACCCCCAACCCCAAGGGCCACAGGAAGGTCGCCGTGAGCCAGGCCAAACACACCAAGCAGAAGGTCGCCGTGAGCCAGGCCGACGACAGCGACTTGTGGGATTCCGACGGCGACGAGCGGGCGCTCTCTTTCGCCGCCAAAGCGAAGGCCGTGCCAGCCAAGAAGGCGCAGTTGAAGGCCGGGCGGGGGGTAGTGGAGGAGGAGGAGGGGGGGGGAGGAGGGGGAATTCATGCAGGAATGGAGGAGAACGGAGGACAAAACGGAGGATGAATAATGAGGAAGATGA